ATGGAGAGGTCTCATGTCTTGGGGAACAAATTTCTCATGCACAGCAAGGCCATACTCCAGAATATGTGCCTATGAAACAAATGATGGTCAACGTATCTGAGTGTTACAAATTACCATTTGTAGAACAAGCAAATAAAAGGACTTTGACTTGAGTTTATTGTCCAGTCCTGTTTTGAAGGTTAAGATTAAACTGTTAGGCTCAAAATACTGCAAACATTTCTGTTTCTATACATTTAGTTACATCATCTCATGTTTAAGATCTTTCATTTCCTTCTTTTGCTATAGTCTTCACCTCCACATTGCCAACTTTATCTCTTATTACAAACCTGTTCAAACATGAGTTCTCTGAGTCGCCCAATCTTCTCGCCATCCTCAGGGTGATTCATAATGTAGTCCTTTGCAAAAAAGGCCTGTGTGGAGACAAAGTACAGAACATCTGTTATGCACACAACAGGGGCTGAAGCAGTAAAGTGTCCTGTCCTACAGTGTTACCTGAATCCCTGCTTGGCTGACACAGTGAATTAGTGTCCATGTGTTGTTTTTTTGATGTTGAATTCTTAAAAGCATTCACAAAAAAACTGAGCAAATAAGAAACCACAGTCAACTAACATCCAGCTCAAATGGGATGTACAGTAATATTCCTGTCAGGGTTTTTGTTTTGTGATATTAATATCAAGTTCAAGGATCAGCATATAGCTACAAAACAGATCAAAACAGAAAAAAAACATGTTGCCAAATGGATATTGCTGGAATCAAGTAGCTGATTTTACTTTCTGGTCTGCTTTGACTGATGATAAAGGTTTGTGTTGCATCCATAAATTAAACACAAGGTCCTAGCTGTTTACAATGACATCAATACTTGTGATGTGCCTACAGATTATGGTAAATCCTTTTAAATCTGTATCAGAGTGCACAAAGAAAAAAGAGATGACAAACTGATGAAAGACACACAGTCTGCTTTCAAATCTGCCATACAAGGAAACACAAAAAAAGGGCCTGAAAGGTAAAGGGGACCTCATAATCAAGATCAGCATGGATCTTCTCCCAGGGTCACAGTTGTCTATCTCCAAAGAGACAGAGGCAGGTGACAGGAGAAAAGGTGCTCAGTGCTGTTTCAAAAATGAGCAAACAACCACACACACCTTGATTGTTATCAATTAATGTATAAGAGTATGGTTTGTAGACTCAATTAAACAAGGACTATTATTATTCCAGACATCCTGAGATAGCAATCTTTAACAGATATTGCTATGCATTATATCATGTTTCTCTCTTATTAAACCACACAACATACAGTAGATTGCTAAGAAATGTAATACCATACACATTACGGTGCTCTTTATAGTGAGTGTACAATACGCAATATGCAATATGCAATATTGCCAAGGTAGTACTTCTAAAGACAACTGTTGTGTTTCAGCAAAAATTGCATCCAAACACCTCCAGAAAAGGCAGCAAAAAAAAAAAAATAAAATAAAATAAATCAATAAATCAATAATTTTCAACATATGATGGAAATTTCTCATTGGGCTGCAGGGAGTGAAATGCTGCCATAGAGTGGCTCAGTTAATCATTAAAAACAGTCCAATTAGAGATGGAATGCTGAGGGGAGGGGAAATAAATCAGACAGCATTCCTCCTCAAGGGTTTCAACTCAAACTCAAGCAATAAAGATGAATATTAATATGGGCAATTTCTCCTCCATCTGTGGCTGAGAAAACCTCCACAGCTGTCAATCAGCATTATGCAGGAAAGTGAATAGATTTCTGGGTGCGTTCCATGAGGTACTGCATGTGATATTCTGCAAAAATGAGTATTCATATGAGTGGCAATGGGTTTGCTACAGAAAGAGCTCCATCTGTGTCCACATCATGCAAAAAAATGAAAATACAAATAAAAATGGTTGGAAGAAGTTGGCTTACACAGAGAAATGTATTAATACATTTGTTTTTAAAGGATATATATATATAGAGATGCCCCTGAGACAATCCAGCACATAACAGCGGGGTGCAAGATGCTAGCAGGCAGGGCATACATGTAACGCCATAACCAAGTGGCTGGCATAGTGTACAGAAACATCTGTGCCGAGTACAGGCTGGAAGTCCCAAAGTCAAAATGGGATACACCTCCAAAGGTGGTTGAGAAATCTCATTTATTTTAACAAAATGTTATCATATACAAGCAAAACGACCTGAGTTAAATATTAACATAAATTAGTCAACTTGTACAAATGATCTACATCCATTACTGTAATTGCTAGTAACAAGCTGACTCTGACAAGTCTGAGCGTTGTAAAGAGAACTGGCTGAAGTGTTGTAACTGGGTCAGCTGCTGTTTTATATGCTTCTGAGGACCTGAATCTGGGTTTTTCCTCTTTGTGTGCAACTTACAGCCAGTCCTGTAAAGCTGAGGAACAATAATAAAGCTTTATTTATATAGCACTTTACAACTCTGGGGAGCACAAAGTGCTGCACAATACAACATATGTATCAACTAAACAACATTACTAAAATAATAAAACCTAAACAGAATAAAACACAAATTTACAAAACAGGAGCAATATGAAACTTCCATCAAGATACAAATAGCATAAGACAACAAGTTAAACAACGTCCCTTTGGGGCAAGTAAAAGAATAAACACCAAAGGCCTGTCTAAAGAAGTGAGTTTTTAAGGTTGACTTAAAAACCGCTAACTCGGTTATGGACCGTAGCTCTAGCGGTAGAGAATTCCAGAGTCTGGGGCCATACACAGCAAAAGAGCAGTAAAAATGGGATACACCTCCAAAGGTGGTTGAGAATGATCAAGCTATGATCCTGTGGGACTTCCAGAAACAAACTGACAAACTGGTAATGGCCAACCAACCGGACATAGCAGTGGTGGACAAACAGAAGAAGAAGGCCGTAGTGATAGATGTAGCAATCCCAAGCGATAGCAACATCAGGAATGGCTATGGCCCCCAAACTAGGAGAGTGGCTCCAACAGATCCCAGGAAAAACATCTGAGATCTGTGTCCAGAAGAGTGCAGTCCTAGGAACAGCAAAGAAAAGAGTCTGGGGCCATACACAGCAAAAGAGCGATCGCCCCATTTTTTTATATCAAGACTGTGGGACAACAAAGGGCAGATGCTCTGAGGAGGGCAGATGCTCTGAGGAGTGCAGAGCTCTGTGCGGAGCATAGATAGACAGCAGATCCAACAGGAATCTTAGAATCTTCTTCATGTGACTCACCTTCTGCTCACACACACAAAAGTTGGCTATGGCCCCCAAACTAGGAGAGTGGCTCCAACAGATCCCAGGAACAACATCTGAGATCTGTGTCCAGAAGAGTGCAGTCCTAGGAACAGCAAAGATACTGCGCAGGACCCGAGCTTGACGGAAGGAATACAAGACCACCCCAGAGTGGGGGGCGAGTGGGGAATTCTTTTTAAACACACACACATATACATATACATATATACATATACATATACATATATACATACAGGGTCAAAGGTCAGCAACTAAAAGCAAAGGGCTGCTTTATAATTATACTCATTTTTTTAAAACAAAATTATGGCAGTAACTGTGAAAAGCACTTCAGCCACCCTTCCCTCTGTGGCAGTATCAAGCATCCTAGAAACCTTTATAGAAGTACTACTACTACTACTACCACCACACAGAGGCAAGGTCTTCTGCACAAGCCAAATATACACAGACAAACACTCACACATGCACAAACATGAACATGCACCCCCATATACGTGCTCCCAGTTGAAAGGGTGGTTGCTGTGCGACACAGAGCAAGTTGCTGAGTCCACTCAGTTTGTTGAGGGAACATTTTCTTGAATAGATTTTTTTTGTTGACTTTTTCTTCAGTTGTGCTCCCTCCTGGTTAAGAAATTGCACTGTATTGTTGTTCTGCCACTGTCTGCCAACAAAGAGCTTTTGAAGAAGCAGTAGATGAAAGTGTTTGTCAGTGAGACTGACCATATTTTAGTTTTTTTCCACCAATTTGCATGCCTATAACTACTACAGTGTATAATAGCAGCTGCATAAACACTCCCCTCTCATTCATTCAGCTATTAGTCATCAATCTCTACATTCCTTCCTCCCACCTCTTTATCTGCCATGACCCCTCTATCTCCTCACATCCATCCTTATACCCATTGAACAACCTCCTACATCACCATCCATCTCATTTTCCCTCTTCCACTCACTCCTGCTCTACATTCATCTATTCAAACCAAATATCCAACCATTCTTGCATCCATTCATCTGTTTATCTGATGTTCCCTCAGAAACATGTTCTTTGTCCATACATCTCTCTGCTATAACCCACCTTCATACATCATTACGTCCATATGTCATCGCACCTCACTCCTGCCTTGGTATCTAAAACCCTCCAACCTTATCCTCCACCTATAGTATCCATCCTTACCTCTTGGTAGCGAGCCAGCCCCCCATTGACAGCGGCGTCAATGACCCCGTTGAGGCACATGGTGAGGGGGTTGATGTTCTGCATCTGCCGGCTCTGACACTGAGTGATCAGTGTGCGTAACTGTAGGTTCTTGTTCTCAATGACCTCAATGGCATTCTCCAGCGGGCTTACCTCCACCTACAAAGGGAAACGATATAGGAAAATTAAGAATTTTAGGGGAATATTTCTTCTGGAAACAGTGATAATCATTAGTAGTATTATCAGAGAAACCTTTCACTTACTGTATGTGTAGCAAGTTGAGCCATTGTTTATAAAAAAAAAATATTATAGCAGCTCTAAGTGTAAGACATGCATGATATAATTGCAAACACACAAAAAAACTTTCCTTTCATCCCCTGTTTCTTCCTCTGTATCACATAAAGCTTTATCCTCTTGCTTTTGTCGGTTCTGTATTTTATATGCCATTGCACTGTATAACCACCATAGAATAATACTGCATTCACAGTCCTCAATTTAACACCATGTTCAGCAGCTATTCGCTAAAGAATATGTGCTTAGACCATCAATGATCCACAGTGTGTTGTGTGTTGCATGTGCTGAACAAAGCGCCTTGTAAAATCCTCCCACTCCTCAGAGAGGTGAATGAGGAAATCTTAGACTGAAAGCTTCTGAGGAGATTTACATGTAACACAATGTGGGAATGAACTTGGATCAAATATGATAGCGTTTCCTGGCTAAAAACAGGAAATAATATTGGAAAAATGTCCTAATAGAAAAATTCATTCCAAAAATTGGACATGTTGGTAATGAAAGTAAACCAATTTCAATCCAATCCATTCAATGGAGGAAATGAAATGTGTCAAATAGACCCAAACTCATAACCTAGGTCATGAATGTTCATGTTTAATGTAATGAACTGAATCAATACTTGGGTACTGAGTGACAAATTTCAACCTGAAAAATAAAAGTGTATTTCTTCCGAGGTGGTCACACTCACCAGCTCTCTCTTCTCCACCTCAAACCAGCAAGATATCCCTGGAAGACTCTGGACCAAAGTCAGGGTTGTCCTCTCCACCCACAGGCTCTGAATGAACAAACAATATGCTCTATTAGCTGATTGCTAAACACACTTTTAAAAAATCCATAGCTACTTAATGCAAACATGCGCTCTCTCTTCCTCTGGCAGGCGGCAAACAATTTAATTACAGATACACAAGTTGAGAAAAACATGTTGAATACATCTACTGCCAAAAATCAATTTTTAGGTTTAGTTCACATGTCATATAGCTCATATCGTCATTTTCCACAACTTATCCTGTCAACCATCATGTTTACCAGTATGCCAACAGCCCTCAAGGTCATTCCGACGGCACATAAAGTGTAGCATTCACTGCAGGCAATTAGCAGAACAGATTCACAGTGGAGCATTTATAGTGACATTTATGTTTGTTGTAAACATGTCAATAAACATTAAGAATGGAGAGGATACCTGTAATTTTTGAGTTTTGACTTGTGTAACTTCCAGAAACAATTAACAGTAATTTTGATAATCAGCTAAAAGTTTAAGTCATCCATAAAGCAAAAAATGAAAAACAGTTATTTTGATTATTTACTAATGTTAATTATAGAAGATTCCAGGCTCAAGCCAGGGCTGACCACCCCCACCACCACACCCACATGACCTTATTAAGGAGTAAGTGGTATAGATCATAGATGGATGGACTAATGTTATTTTCTTGAAAATCAGACAATTGTAAACTAGAGTTACCACCTTGCATTTGTATGCTTCTGCCAACCTGTAAAGTTGCAGCTTATGTGCATCTGTCCAAACTCACTACATATAGTGAAGACTCTGAAGAAATTTAATAAAGGATATTAAGTGTATTTTTTGACAAAATGGAAGTTCTCATATAGGATTCTAGTGAATAATTTGAAACATGCTGTCTTCACAGAGACAGAGTATGTAGGACCTGTAGTGGATAAAACAAACAAATAGAATATAGAATCAGCACAACATGTAATGTGGGATAGAGCAATGGGTTATACTTATGTAACAGCAACAAAGACATTGACCTGTTATTCTTTAGAAATGCTCTCTGAGTGGACGCTAGGATGGTCAGGGGCCTTATGGTAGTTCAGAACATCTTGCAGGATGTTTTCGAAAAAGAAAAGCGAGCCTAGGGGTTGACGCAATTGGGGGAACAATGTATGGATCTATTGCATAACTTTCCTCACATCAACAAGTTGTCACTCAAACTAAAGACAGGTCTATTATTATTTTCAGTGCAGAGATAGATAAAATGGTTTTGTGAAAATGCATATTATATATCTACATCTTAACATTTTTTATATATTTTATATATTTATATATAGTAGGTTGAAAAATGCTACATCTTAAGGTTTACATTTAAACTGACACATCCTATATATATATATATATAT